TTTTATTTTTTTTATTTTTTTTTATTTTTTATTTTTATTTTTTTTATCTTTTATTTTTTATTTTTATAAAATGTCTTTACAACAACCCGGCAAATTAGCTAAAATTGAAACTACAAATGTGAAGACTTTTTAAAAAGGTCATATGTTAGTGTCTCATCAGAAGCTAGCTCTGAAAGAGTTGCTACACAATCTAGTGAATCAATTGGTACTACATCACGTTTTACTTCACGTACTTCTAATGGTTAAAATTTATTAAATAATTTTTTTTATATTAATTCCTATCTATTTTATTTTTAATTTAATTTATTATTTAAAATAATTAAAGAGCAAACTACTTTGGATCATATTAAAAAGTTGTTAATTGGGCTTAATGAAAAAGTCGATAGATTAGAGTGAAAGGTTGCAGATATAGATAGTTATATTATATCTGGTTTAGATCTTGAGAATGAAACTAAATTAGTTAAAGTAATTATTAATTTTATAAGTTAATATTTATTATTAAATTAATTTAATTTAATATTATTTTATTTTTTATAGCACATGAGTATAGTGATTGCAAAACATCTTATTATGTTTAATATTTATCCTACTAATGATGAATTTAAAAAAGCTGCTAAGAAGTACCTTGCAGAAAATGAAATGGATTTCTACACAAGTTTGGATAATTCGCAATAGAACAATTTTTATCAATATAAATTATCTAGTTCTGTAAATGTCATTTTATTCGAATATATTTGAATCTTTTTTAATTATTGCAATTATTTTGATTTTGAATTTTTTTTATTTTTCATATTTATTTTTTTCTTCCCCAATGTCCCCTATCTACCTTCATTTTCCGGGGACACAACCTCACCTTTACTCTCGAACCTCTCATTTGTTTCTAGGGGTTTCATTGTTGCACCTGGGGCACCCTTAGGAGCGATCTGCAAGATCGTCTCTTGCAGATATTTTATGAGATAAGCTGTCTTGACCTTCTAGCTTGTCCAGTCTGCCTATAATTTGCAGTAGCATAAATTGAACCATATCCTCTTGAGTTGGCTAACTTTTCAAAGCCCCCTCACTGTAGTTTCTGTAGTTGGGTTTTATGTTCTCTTTATTTTTGTTTCTTTTGTTTAATAATAGAGCAGGAGGAACTAATTTGTTGGTTGCTTTGATTTTGCTATCTCTATTCTGAGTATAAGAATTTTCTTTTCTCTTTGCTACATTTTCTCTTTCCTGTTTAAGTGAACGATTCCTAGATCTTCCTCTTTTGCTGGAGGTGGAACTGTTGGATTCTTCTTTTATACCATCTGTTGTACCCCATTCTAGTCTTGTATTGTAGTAATATATTCTTTTTGCTAGTGCTGCTAGTAGCTCTTCTTCTGATTTAAAAACTACAGATGCTGTGCTTCTTTGATTTTTGTTCCGGTTGTATTAAATATATACTGTTGTGCTCTGACTAGCCTTAACTGTTTTAGCAACATAGTTTCGAGGGCTGTCTTTGGGATATTTTTTAGAATCGCTTTAAATCTTCCTCTTTCATCTAGAATGGACCTGTCAAATACTCCTTCTGATAATCTTAGCATCTTACCCTCTTCGAAGTGCACAGCCCAGGCATTTGTAAACATAGCTTTTCTTCACTTGTTCCAGAAAGTTATGTTGAAGGAGATGGCTTTCTTTGTTTCTACAAATTCGAGTGTTTAAATTGTACTTGACCATAAAAATACAGACATCTTCACACTCTCATTGCTTTAACTTTTGCTAGTATATCCCAAAGAGTATAACAGATTTTTGAAGCCTCTGTATCTTTGTCTCTGTCTTTTATAGTTTCTATAATATCTATCTTCAGAGTATTGTCTCAGGTATCCACATTAGTAGATTTAACAGGCCGTGATTCTGTGTTGTGTATTTTAGATGTGTCGAATACTTGGACTATATCTTCTTCTTTTTTGCAGGTTTTCTTGATTTCCCTTTTCTTTTCTATTGGGCTTGCATTTCTTTTTCTTGTTTGGATATTAGTTTTGTACTGTTGTGACTTTAATTTCTCTTGTATGCCATAATCTAACGTGCCACATTCCTGATTAACTAATATTTCCTTTCTTTTTTCACTTTTTTTTGAGTCTATTAGGTCTATTAGTCGAGCATTCTCCCCATTTTTGATTCTCAGATACTTTAACCAGTTATAAGTTTCAATTAAACACCTGAACAAACATATTAGTTGTGGCTCAGCTTTTACAAAAGCCACTATTTCATTGTCTTTTCTAAGACATTCTACTAGGTGCTCCTCTTTGAGCATGTTAAAATCATCTGTTGATTTTTTAAAAATGTTCTTGTACTTGTTTATCTTGTGCCCCCAGTCTATCTCTGTGACTTTTGGCTGTTCAGTATTTATTTTGTGTATGTGACTTATATTAACAGTTATTGCAATAGCTACTCTATAGTAAAATTATGTAATTTCAACTTAGTGTATATTGTACGTGTTTTTACGTGTTTTTAATGTGATTTCACGTGTAATTTTTTTGTAGAAGCTTCCGTGTTGCTGCATGTCGATGTTTGCAGTAATTGTGTTATACCAGGGATTGGTGCTACAGGGTTAATGCTATTTTTTCAAACATACAAAAATATCGAGTTTTGGCTTTATACTAAGATATTTGACTACTTTGCTTCTTCAGACTGAAGATGTGCTATGATTTACAATTAGTTTAGCTTTTTTTTACTGTACTGATACAGCTTTGTTGCTTATACTGAGCTGAACTCTGGTTTGCCTAAGTTTTGTCACTGTGTGCTTTCTTTAATCGAGAAATACTGTTTTTCTCACTTGTTTAGACTACTACCAAGTAATTAATCTAATACAGGCCTGTGTTTAAAGCCTTTTTCTATGTTCTATTAAGTTTGTTGATATGTTTGTCGCTTCTTTCTAGTGTAGAGTTTACTTTTTGCCTTCTGCTAGTTTTGTACCGAGTAATCGTCAGATTGAGTTTTTTTGAGTACTATTTTTTATCTTTTCCTGTTTTATTAATATTAATAATATTAAAATTAATTTAAATATATTTAAATAACATAAATATAAATTAATTATATATTACTTACTATATTTTTATTTATTCTATT